AAACTGGAAGTTCCCTGAAGATACCTCATGATCCACTTCACTGCATTCCAATGCTCTCTACCTGGATTTGATAAATAACGACTAACAACGCCAATTGCATGCGCCAAGTCTGTCCGTGTACATACCATCGTATACATTAAGCTTCCCACAGCCGAGGCATATGAAACACTTTCCATGTCTTTCTTCTTTTTATCAGTCATGGGACTTTGCTTTGTATTCAACTTAAAGTGGGCAGCAAGAGGAGTGCTAACCACTTTAGCCTTGTTCATGTGAAATTTCTGAAGAATCTTCTCAATGTACTTCTCTTGCAACAAGAACAACTTCTTAGCATTTCTGTCTCGAGTAATTCTAATGCCAAGAATCTGCTTCGCCGGGGCCAAGTCTTTCATGGCAAAAGACTTGCTCAATTGTTTCTTCAACAACTCAATTCGTGAAGCATTCTTGTCGACAATTAATATATCATCAACATAAAGCAAGAGAATAATAAAGTCATCATCAGAAAATTTTTGGACAAACACACAGTTATTCGAGAAAGTCTTCTTATAGCTTTGCTCTGTCATAAATGCGGTAAACTTTTTGTACCACTGTCTCGGTGCTTGCTTTAGGCTATAGAGACTCTTCTTCAGTTTGTACACATAATCCTCTTTTCCTTTCACTTTGAAACCTTCTGGTTGTTCCATGTATATCTCTTCCACCAAGTCACCATGTAGGAAGGCCGTTTGGACATTCATCTGCTCAACTTCCAAGTCTAGGCTAGCTGCCAAGCCTAGAATCACATGAATAGAAGATATTTTTACCACCGGAGAAAATATATCATCAAGGTCAATACCCTTTCTTTGACCAAATCCCTTAACAACCAATCTAGCTTTGTATCGTGGTTGTAAAGTATGTTCATCTTGTTTCAACCTGTATACCCACTTGTTCTTCAAAGCTCTTTTACCTTTAGGTAACTTTACCAGCTCAAAAGTATGATGATCATAAAGTGACTGCATTTCATCTTGTATTGCATCGAACCATTTGCTTTTGCACTCGTCTTCTATTGCTTCTGCATAGCACTCTAGTTCACCTGCATCAGTCAATAATACATACTCATCTGCAGAATATCTGGTGAAAGGTCGTCGGTCTCTGACGGATCTCCGAATTGGAATATCTGGTGGAGCATTTAATGGAGTCTCTGATTCTAGAACGGTATCATCTGGCTCAACATGTTCAGGAATATGTGCATTGTCTGGAACATTCACTTCCTGCTGCTCCTCATCAACATATGCAGGAATATGTGTATGAGGAACTGGATTTAAGTCAATCAAGTCATCACTAACCTGTGGCACTGAAATAATCTTTGATTTCTCAATATCCTGTATTGTTTGATCTTCCATAAACACAACATCTCTGCTTCTTATAATTTTCTTCTCAACTAGATCATACAACTTGTAGCCAAACAAATCATGTCCATAGCCAATGAATATGCATTGTCGTGTTTTCACATCAAGTTTAGACCTCTTATCTTTAGGAATATGCACAAATGCCTGGCACCCAAAAACACGCAAATAATCATAAGAAATATCTTTGCCTGTCCAAACTCTATTGGATACATCAAACTCTAAAAGAACACATGGAGTAAGATTTGATACATGTGCAACTGTACTCAAAGCCTCACCCTAAAAGGATCTCAGTAGCTTTGTTTGTGAAAGTAAACATTTTACCCTTTCAACCAGTGTCCTGTTCATCCTCTCAGCTAAGCCATTTAACTGAGGTGTCTTGGGAGGTGTCTTTTGATGTCAGATACCCTGTTGCTAGCAATATTCATCAAAAGGTTCAGTATACTCTCCCCCGTTATCAGTTCTGATGCATTTCAACTTCTTTGCAGTCTGTTTCTCAACTGAAGCCTAAAACTGCTTAAAAGAATCTAATACTTGATCTTTAGTTTTCAAGGTATAAACCTAAATTTTCCTTGAATAGTCATCTATGAAAGTAACAAAATAAAGAGTCATTAAGTGATTTGGTCTTCATAGGACCGCAAACATCATAATGCACTAAATAAAAAATACCTGACTTTCTTTAAGGAGGGGTGCTTTTGAATGCAACTCTATTTTGCTTTCCTGCTAAATAGTGAGCATAACACTTCAGTGATGAACTTTTCATTCATGAAAGGAGCTTCTTCTTGGTCAATATTGACAAACCAATCTCACTAATGTGATTGAGCCTCTTGTGCCATAACTCAATTGTTTATCCGTTGTTTACTGCATTAATTTTGTCTGTGAACAACTTTGCCTGCATAATGTATGACGAAGAACATTTTTTACCTCTAGCCACAACCATAGAACCTTTAGTGAGCTTCCATCGACCATCACTGAAAGTGTTGCAATACCCCTCATCATCCAACTTACATGTGGAAGTCAAATTCAAACGAATATCAAGTATATGCTTAACATTATTCAATATTAACCTCGTGCCATTGCTAGTCTCTAGGCACACATCACCAATGCCTACAACTTTAGCAAGTCCATTGTTTTCTATCTTTACAGATCCAAAGTCACCTGACTTGTAAGATGTAAAGAAATCCCTACGAAATGTAGCATGAATAGATGCACCACTATCAATTACCCAACTGGTCTCATGACATACAAAATTCACTGCATCACCATCAAAGACAATGAGAAGGTCTTTCACAACTACAGTAACACGATTATCATCGCTGTCATTATCACTTTTCTTCTCTTTACTTTTCTCTTTCTGTTTCTCTTTTTTCATCTGACGACAAAACCTCTGAATATGTCCCTTTTGATGGCAATAATGGCACTCAACACTCGCAAATTTATTGTATTTGCCTTTGCTTTTATCTCTACTCTTATCTTTATTTCTAGACCTCGAGTTTCACTTCTTCCCCTTTTCTCAACAACCAAGGCATCAGAATGTAAAGAGGAGAATTCCCGTGTCTTTCTTTTCATCTCTTCATTTAAAACACTACTCTTGGCCAAATCCATGGTAATTGTACCATCTAGGGTTGAATTAGACAAAGACGTTTGAAACGTCTCCCACGAGTCCGCCAAAGTACCAAGCAACCATAATACTTGTATCTCATCATCAAACTTGATACCCATCGCAGCCAACTGATTTATAATTCCTTGAAAAAAATTTAAATGATTAGTCAAACAAGTACCATCTTGATATCTCAGAGCCATCATTTGTTTTATCAGAAATAACCTATTATTCCCAGTCTTTCGAGCATATAATTGAGCTTATTCCACAAATTGCGTGCATGCGTTTCCTCAATGATATGATTTAAAACATTATCATCCACCCACTGCCAAATGTAACCACACGCTTGACGATGAAATATAGCCCATTCAACATCAGTTTTATTCTTGGGTTTCTCAACAACAAACACGGGTAAATAATAATCCTTCACGTACAAAAGGTCTTCCATCTTTCCTTTCTACACGTGATAATTCGAACCATTCAATGTAACCATTCTACTTGTATTCATTTCCATCATTTAACACAAGGCAGAAAAATCTAGCAATAACCAAAGCTCTGATACCGGTTTGTTGGGAAAACAATAACAATCCAAACAATGTCGGATTAGCATAGCGAAATAAAATAATCTCCCATCTTGTGTAAACCTAATAGGAAACGACTGAATCGAGGAATATAAATGGCAAGCACGCAAACACAAGGCGATTTTTTTACGTGGAAAACCTCCTCAGTGTGAGGAGATAAAAAACCACGGGACCAGAGTCTATCCAAAAATCTTCACTATCAGCAAAACTGGATGAACAAATTTCTTCTCTAGTAAATACTAGAGGTACAAAGCAGCAAAGACATCAAGAACATCATTATTGGCAATGGACATGAACTTCACAAGAGATAAAAGGATAAATCTCACCAAAAACGCACTTTTGGTGCAACCCACAAAAACCTGATGTAGGAGCTTCAACTAATAATCAAACCGATCAGATTTAAGAAGAATGCAGCACGACCATACTGACAAAATTTCAGCTCAATCGGACCACGAATCAACCTCCGACTTCAGCATCAGATATATCCTCAAACCTAGATTTTCTTCTCTCTTTCTCTCCTGTTACTGTGTTTCTCAAAAACGTTCTTTTTGCGGCCACGATATAATAATAGTGAGAAACTCTATTGCTCCATATAAATAGATATATGGGCTCAAGCCTTGGGCTTGCAATTCATTGGGCTTCCTCCACATGAGAGTGAACCCAGTCAACAAATAAACTGACCATCACCCCTATCACAACCGATGTAGGACAACCTCAACACTGTACTCCCGACTCTCCACCATATAAATAGGGCATCATGGTTGCACTGCAACCACGATGCTCGCTTGCATAGTTTTCCTTGAGATTTCTTTGGCGATCCACTAGCCTTCGACGATGAAAATGGCTTCCTCTAGGGTTTTTCTTCTGTGCGGCCTCCTCTTGGCCGTTCTTGTTCTCGTGGCCGCACAGGTCTCAACTCGTGAGTTGGCTGAGGAGAGGAGACTCGGTCACGTGAGTGCTACTGCTCTCACCATTTAAGTCTTCCTTAATTTACTTCTCTAGTTCTCTTTAGCTTGATAGAAAACATGGAATCGCATTCTCATGTTTGATGTGTATATTTGTTTCCATGTGATTGTCCGTTGTGTGTGCACTCGTGTTTGTTAAAGACTATCAAACAAATAATCACGGAAAGCTATGTCTGAAAATGTTTCTAATGAGGCAATGGACGACGTGAATTGCAAGACTTAATTATAAGCGGTCCGTCAACCTCTCGCGAGCTTCAGTTGTTCATGGCATATTAAATGGTTATGAATTTTGACGAGATAATGTTTTACAATATCAAGATGTGGTGTTCATCACAGAGAGGTCAATGAAATGTTAGCATTATTAGATAGTTTCATCTTAACTTAGTACTTTATGTATTCATACACAGTAAACTAGATCACATGTAATCTGTTAGTGTACACAAATATAATCATACACGCTGGGTTTATATTTCAGAGGAGAGCGTGAAGGAGGCTAACTACGGCCACGGATATGGACCTGGCTATGGCAAGGGTCATGGCAGCTACAGCCATGGCGGAAAGGGGTATGGAGGCGGCTATGAAAAGGGTCATGGCGGCCACGGCTACGGTGGTCACGGCCACGGTGGTCATGGCTATGGCGGTCATCACGGTGGTCACCCTCCGGAAGAAACTGAAGATGTCAAGAATTAGATAATGGACTCAGTGGGTCCATCATCCTGTGGGGAATGTATGAGTATGCCATGTAACTCGTGGAAGCTTAAAAGCTTTTGTAATAATGGTCGAATAAAACGGTTTCTTCACTGTTGTGAGCAGCTTTCTTGCATTTCAGATGGTTCTTTTGGTGATTTCAAGCACGAGTCGTCTCAGATGTCTACTGATGTTTGCACGAGTTGTCTCGTTTGTTTTATTTAAGTTATATAAAAAAAAGCAAAAATTTTAAAAAAACACAAAAAAAGAAAAAAATTAAACAGGCGAGAGCTTAGCCCTCGTTGCCACCACCCCCACCATCGCTAGGAAGGGCCGACAACCCTCACTCAGATCTGGCGAGGGTCGACGGCCCTCGCCCAAGTTTGGATGCGGGCCGCTAGTGGCAGCCCTCGGCCAAACCTGGGCGAGGGCCGGTGAGGGTTGTCAACCCTTAGTCGGGGACCGGCGACTCCCGCCAACCCTTCCCCCGCCATCGCCGGTCCTTCCTGGCAATGGTGGGTTGGCAGCGGCAGTAGCGGGGACTGCAAGCCCTTGCATGCTTCTTCCTCTCTCTTTTTTTTTCCTTATTTTAAATAAAATTTATATTAAAAAATTCATATTTCAACCAAAATGACGTCGTTTTAGCCACGTAGGAGAGAGAAAATAAAAAAGTTATATAAGCATTTTTCATTAGCCAAATTGGACGGAGTTAACGGAAGGACTTGATTATACTAATTTGATAAGTTTTAGGACTTAATTACTTTTTTCGAAAGTTTCAGGATTCAATTGCACTTCATGACAAGTTTTAGGACTTTCAGTGCACTTATCACTTTTTTTTTTCAAGGCGATCTTTGCTTTGAAAGTATAGAAAAAAAAGGCATATTCTATTCTAGTCTTTTCATGAATAAGTGGAGTTATAGAATATATAATGGACCGACTAATTAAATTATGGTCTGATTTTAGTAGTCATAATAAAATTGAGTAAATTTACCAAAAAACCCTTTATTGATGGATCGGAATAATTGTTTGGAATATCCCGTCCTTTTTCCTATGCTCCTAATCCGTTCCTGCTCTTTTTTTCAATTGGGTTCTCAGATCTTGCAACAACGCAGCTCATCCCTTTGTAGACGTGGTTTTTCTCAAGCTTTTATATATTTTTTGGGATATTGCAGAAACTTTACTTCTCAAATTTATATTATCAGTATGATCCCTACGAAAAAGAGTATCCAAAAATTACCGCAATTATCAGCTTTATAGTCCAATTACTTTACGATTGCCATGACATTATTCCGTAACTTTAGACTTGACATATTGACAAGAATACAATCTCAACCATGCTTTGTGAACAACGTGTCTAAAGGCGATATGTGGTACCGTTAAACTTCTTATTCCACACTGACCATATAAGCGAATAACGGGAAAATTACCAAAAAAGTCTTAAACCTATTGCAATTGCCAATTGAGTCCTAAACCTTTTTCTTTGCCAATTGAGTCCTAAATCTTTTGCATTTATGGCAATTTAGTTCATCATGCCAAGTTTGGCTGGAAATCACTGACATGGACATCAGTTGTCCTACATGGCGTGATAGGCGCTGACGTGAATAATTTTTAATAATATTTTAATATTTTTTTCGAATTTTTTATTTTTTATTTATTATTTCTCTTTTTTTTCTTTTCTTTCTCTTTCTTTCTATTTTCTTTACTTCTTCCTCTTGCCAGCCACCGGCAAGGCTTGCCCTTGCCATTGCTGGGTTTAGGAATCAATTAGCAAAAAAAAAAGATTTATGACTGAATTGGCATAATTGCAATAGGTTTAAAACTGTTTTTGGTAATTCGCCTGTGAATAACTATGACATACCAAAAAAGTTTCGTCGGTGGAGACTATAATGTCCATCAATGGTGAATTACAAAGTATGGATACCACCCACATATTAAAATTTAACCGATTATTATAAAAGATCAGAAAGGAACACACACACACACACATATATATAATTTTTCTAATTATCCCCATCATATCCCTTATTTAACCAAGTAGCACGTGAAAAGTATTCCATGCATTGAATTCGGGAGAGTTCAATGCAATGCATCCAGATTTTCGGATCAAGTGGGACTCTTCGTGCACTCATCAGAGCCCGCAAGACCTCTCCCGTGCATTTAGTTCACGAAGTGGACCGCGTTCTCACACGCTCGACAACCTTGTTTGCAGCATGGCTGGTTGGCCGACGTCCGTTTAAGAGACAGACAAGTGGCTGAGGACATGGAAGTGACGCGAGACAGGACGTAGCCATGCAAAGAAAACGACACAACGGATAAGAGAGACACGAAGACAGGAACTTGCAGGGTACAAGTCGTTGGAGACGCCTGTATCTGGAGCAGATGGCGTCGAAAGTCAATCGTGTGGGGGCACGCATTATCCTCTCTTTGAGGACTCTTGCGGTGAACGTGACGTGAGGAGGGACGTGCGCGACTTTGGCATTCTTTTATGTGTGAGGGTTGCTTTGGTATTGCCATTAATGAAGGGCAGGCACAACTTGCACAACGATACAACCCGAAGAGGTGACCTCAATACTTCGGCCAATTGCATACCAAAAGATCGCCAACATGCTAGAGCTCCCTGGCAGCGTTTGGAGAAGATGGGCGAATCAAACTCCTTCCTTGCTAATAAATCTATCATCGAGTATGCATCTAGGCTGAAGAAGAGATCCAATGTCATCTCCAACAGAGCAGACTTCTTGATCGAAATATCGGTGTAGAAGGATCAATGGTTGTGAGATTGAAATTTAGCTGCGAGCAACATCAACTTGCCCCGATGCGTGCCTGTTTTGTGCGCATGCCATGATCTATAATTCTCTTGATTGGATCACAAATTACCAGGGAAAAGTGCCAAAAAAGTCCTAAACCTTTTGCATTAGTGCCAATTTAGTCCTAAACCTTTTTTTTGGTGCCAATTCAGTCCTAAACCTTTTGCATTGGTGCCAATTTAGTCCTAAACCTTTTTTTGGTGCCAATTAAGTCCTAAACCTTTTAAATTGGTGCCAATTCAGTCCTAAACCTTTTGTTTTTGTGCCAATTTAGTCCTTCCGGCCAATTTAGACCGGAATTTGCCTACGTGGACGCCTGCCGGCCGGCGGCCGGTCACCGGCGCCGACGTGGCGCCGACGTGGACAACTTTAATGTTTTTTTAATATTTTTTTGAATTTTTATTTTTTTCCTTTGTTTTCTTTTTTTCCACTTTTTTTTTTGGTTGTCTTCCTCCTTACTCGGCCGGTCGCCGGTCCGGCGACCGGCCGCAGGCCGAGGCCGGCGAGGGCGAGCCTCGCCTTGGTCGGGCGAGGCTCGAGCCTCGCCCGGAGGCCGCGGCGAGGGCGAGGCTCGAGCCCTCGCCGGAGGCCGCGACGAGGGCGAGCCTCGCCATGGTCGGGCGAGGCCCGACCTCGCCGGATCCGGCGAGGTCGAGCGTCGACCTCGCCGGATCCGGCGAGGTCGGGCCTCGCCCGACCAAGGCCAGCCGCTCGAGCCCTCGCCGGAGGCCGCGGCGAGGCGAGCCTCGCCATGGTCGGGCGAGGCCCGACCTCGCCGGATCCGGCGAACGCTCGACCTCGCCGGATCCGGCGAGGTCGGGCCTCGCCCGACCATGGCGAGGCTCGCCCTCGCCGCGGCCTCCGGCGAGGGCTCGAGCCTTGCCTTGGTCGGGCGAGGCTCGCCTCGCCGCGGCCTCCGGCGAGGTCGGGCCTCGCCATGGTCGGGCGAGGCTCGCCCTCGCCGCAGCCTCCGGCGAGGGCTCGAGCCTCGCCATGGTCGGGCGAGGCCCGCCTCGCCGGATCCGGCGAGGTCGGGCCTCGCCCGGCGGCCTGGGCGAGGCTCGACCTTGCGGATCCGGCGAGGTCGAGCCTCGCCCGACCATGGCGAGGCTCGGCCTCGCCGGGCGAGGCCGCCCTCCCCAGTGGCCGGCGAGGTCGAGCTCGCCGGCCCAGATGAAGAAGAAACCAAAAAAAAAAGTGGAAAAAAAAAAAAAAAGGAAAAAAATAAAAATTCAAAAAAATATTAAAATATTATTTAATTTGTCCACGTGGCGCCACGCGCGCCGTGATGGCCGGCCGCGGCAAGGCCCACGTAGGCAAATTCCGGCCTAAATTGGCGGAAGGACTAAATTGGCACAAAAACAAAAGGTTTAGGACTGAATTGGCACCAATTTAAAAGGTTTAGGACTTAATTGGCACCAAAAAAAGGTTTAGGACTAAATTGGCACCAATGCAAAAGGTTTAGGACTGAATTGGCACCAAAAAAAGGTTTAGGACTAAATTGGCACTAATGCAAAAGGTTTAGGACTTTTTTGGCACTTTTCCCCAAATTACCATATATATCAACTTGCCCGAATACGCTCCGATTGAGGCATGAATGATTATCATTCTTAATTTCAGTATAGGGTTGGACGTTGATGGTCTAAATATCAAGTGCCAAATATATATCACATGCCATGCCTATAATACTTGACTTTAAGTTGTAGCTCAAGCTCAAAGCCTCGCATTCATAATCTCCATTACTTATATATTTATTTATTCTCCTCACGTGTATGTCTATATATGTTTCCACTTTCATGATCCCTATATGTAGAGATTAGAGAGTTCTATGACTTTATAATCAGATTATCATTCCACTAAGGCAAAAGAGAGATTCTACAGAGCTGCATCACGTGATAGTGAACTGCAAATCACGAACCGATTTGCCACATCCTTCAGTTTTCCACTCCGACTATCACCAATCACTGTATAGATGCTGTCAACCAAAAGGTAAAATAATTTGGGGATTTTGGTCTATCTCGTGACCATCGACTTTATCAGTTAATAACTAGTAATTTAACATTATCTTATCATAGCATTTATTCTGTTAGATTAAAGAAGTTCACAGAACTTAGTACCCAAATAAGTTATTTGAATGGCCACGTGATATGAAAATTTGTAGAGATCAATCTCCAAGGACTCTGGCCGAAGACATAAACAAATAAAGGAAAAATAGAACATATGTTTTTACAACCCACTCTCTTAAATCAATGGTGTATAAGACTGTTTATGTAAACTTTTCTTTACACCGTAATTACCCACTTGCTCAAATCAATCATTGGTGCATGAAACTGTACA